ATCATGACGGTACAATTACTGTACCGATGGGACAATTACTGTACCGATGGGACAATTACCGTAGTGGCGGGACAATTACTGTACCGATGGGACAATTATCATACTGACGGGACAATTACTGTACCGATAGGACAATTACTGTACCGATGGGACAATTACCGTAGTGACGGGACAATTACTGTACCGATGGGACAATTACCGTAGTGACGGGACAATTACTGTACCGATGGGACAATTACTGTACCGATGGGACAATTACCGTAGTGACGGGACAATTACTGTACCGATGGAACAATTACCGTAGTGACGGAACAATTACTGTACCGATGGGACAATTACTGTACCGATGGGACAATTACCATAGTGACAAGACAATTACTGTACCGATGGGACAATTACCGTAGTGACGGGACAATTACTGTACCGATGGGACAATTACTGTACCGATGGGACAATTACCGTAGTGACGGGACAATTACTGTACCGATGGGACAATTACCGTAGTGACGGAACAATTACTGTACCGATGGGACAATTACTGTACCGATGGGACAATTACTGTACCGATGGGACAATTACTGTACCGATGGGACAATTACTGTACCGATGGGACAATTATCGTACTGACGGGACAATTACTGTACCGATGGGACAATTACTGTACCGATGGGACAATTACTGTACCGATGAGACAATTACCGTAGTGACGGGACAATTACTGTACCGATGGGACAATTACCGTAGTGACGGAACAATTACTGTACCGATGGGACAATTACTGTACCGATGGGACAATTACCGTAGTGACGGGACAATTACTGTACCGATGGGACAATTACTGTACCGATGGGACAATTACCATAGTGACAAGACAATTACTGTACCGATGGGACAATTACCGTAGTGACGGGACAATTACTGTACCGATGGGACAATTACCGTAGTGACGGAACAATTACTGTACCGATGGGACAATTACTGTACCGATGGGACAATTACCGTAGTGACGGGACAATTACTGTACCGATGGGACAATTTCTGTACCGATGGGACATTTACGGTAGTGACGGGACAATTACTGTACTGATGGGACAATTACTGTACTGACGAGACAATTACTGTACTGACGGGACCAATATTGAATATATTTATCTCTTTTGATTAATCAATGCATGGTAAACAAAGCCTCGGTAACTGATCGCCAACCTGATGGTAACATTTTGTTAACAATAAGATTTTTTTTTACCCAAAGGACATGACTTGTACGACGATAAAGTGTTAGGTTTCATAACAGCCGACTAAAATTAACATAAAAAAAGTCTTTCTGGAATTCTTTGCATGTATGTTTTCAACATATGTGTTTCTATTCACATATTCATGAGTTATGATATTGTTTAAGCCTTTGAACATTGATTGTATGAACTGAAAGATTACTTGAAAAAGACTGGGTTTGCTGCGATGAATTTTACAACATATTAACTGCTTGCTATCGAACATGTCTCGATATTCTTGGAAAATATTGGGTATACAATGACAGCCATACATCGTAGTTCATCCATGATGTTGAATATCAAGTCACAGCCTGTCGTTTGTATTCGAGGATGCTATGTGTAACGTGTCACCTCGCTTGGCCGAGCTTGGGGTGTTCGAAAAACTATTTTTATATTTGTTGAAATTAACATGAACAACACGTGCATGTAGTAAAATGGGATTTGACCTTGCTGTCACACCCAGCGAGAGCATTTGATTTGAACTTAGTTTGTGTGGGGTACATTTATCCTACAAGTAGTATCAATGAATTTGTGCAAGAGTGACTATATCACTGACAACGACAACAACTGCATAGAGTGCAGCCATCACCGGAACATCAGCAGCAATCACAAACCAGTATATTAACACCAATACGACCACAGTAAACTATGACTATGACGGCAATACAACAGCCATCAACTACTAGTATCCCAACACCAGGATCTCTCCCATCAATGGCAGCATCACTGCACAGAAACATATATATTCCGCCAGTATATGCAGCTGTTGTTAGTGGGAAAGGCAGACAGTTGTGATACGATGAAAAAAGAGGATTACGACACATGTGGAGTTAAATGCAAAAGGCCACAGTCACTTGTTTTGAAGATGATGGACGTGCTGCACCAAAACCGAACTAGCAAACTCAAATTTGATTGGCGGCCCAACAAAATGTGATTCTATGGTGAAGTATAAGGGAAGACTCCCCGGAAAAATCAATGAAACGCTCTGAATAATAATGACGCTTAATTTTGACAGTTGCTTGGATTTACTAGCTTGTCTGCAAATGTATAACTGTCAGATCTTTATAAACTGGTCGCTATCAATATTTAATATTTGTATTTATGTGAGCTAACTCCCCTATGAAAATTTACAGTAATATTTGAATGTATACTGATATTTTGATTAATAGGGATTTTTGTTTATTTTAGATGTGTTAAGGTGTTTGACTGTAGAAGTCCAGATGACACACATAAACAGTGGAAGTTCAATGGTGAAATTGAACGTGTTCTCTGGAACCAGTTTTCCCCATTTTATTTCTTAGTGAGTAACTTTTCATTATAATGCAAACAATCTGTAACCTTACTGATTTAAACATGTGGTCTTTTATTTAGAGGTGGTCACTAACACAAGCTTAACTGTATTGTTTTGAAATGTCTACTTCAGAAAATACATGGACGAATAGGATAAAGGACAACATCAAAAGTTCAATGTAGGATAAAAAACTTAATTCCTTTGGGTTTTTTCCAAACCCCCCACCCCCACTGAAAATTAATTGATAAATATTGATCATGGCATCAGACTACATTCACCATTAAATACAAATTGATAATCGGACAGTAGTATGGCATAGCAGTTGGTTATCGAGTGGGTATAAAAAGACTTCACAAATGCACAAATAGCAAGCTTTATTTGTACCTTTCTTTTAAGAAATACATTTAATTTACAAAGGTTGGTAGTACACTGAAATTGTCATTACACATTGTATGCATGTTCTCATGTAGTAAATGTCACCATTACAAACGAACTACAAATACTTCAAGATTGTTTTGACTTTATAAGCCCCCCCCCCCCCCCAAAAAAAAAAACTAAAGCAAATACATTTTTTATCCGACATCGATCTTTCGACGTCATCCTTAAGGGGACAGTAACATCTACAACTCATTGTTTATATCTAGGCTAGTACAGACAAAGGTTTTGTATATTACGTAGATGTACGCAGTGATTCAACAGTATTTACGCTTCAAGCACACAGTGATGCAGTGACGGGGTTAAGCTTGAGTAGTCAAGTACCTGGTTGCCTGGTTACCACATCTGCTGATCATTCCCTCAAAGTATGGGATATACAGGTGAGAAGTTTTCAGCATCAAATTGTTGTGTTTTCGGAGTGGATCTATGTCACAGAATGTGTCATGTTGCTGGGACACATATTGCTGGATCATGTATTATTTGGGCTCTGTGAAAGTTGTTGTAGTTGAGGTGCTGGTGAACAGCTAAAGAAAACAGCACACACTCAACTTTGAGGAAATCCTGAACAATCAAATTTGTATATGTTGAATATTTAGGGGATGTCTTGTCACACTGTTCAGTAGAATCTCAACAGCTAACCCAAAGTATAGTTTTCTAAGAGTTTTCGACTGTTGTTTTTACAATGATGTTTGCAGGGTGGTGAAAATGTCCAATGTTAGCTCCAGAGAATAAGATTAATGAAATAATTAATGTGGAATTATTGCTTCATTAAACATTTTCATCACAAGTTCACAAAAATAGTCTTGTTA